CACGTTTTCTGCTCCTACAGAACTAGGGTTTGGGGTGAAGTTCTTAGGGATGGTTTGGGATTCAGGCACTGACCTGGCCTGCATTTAACCCCCTTTCCAGTGTGAAATCACATGATAGTGGGTGCGGTGCTCTCTGGAACAGCTGGCCAGTGGGGCCTTCTTTAGAAAGTGCCGGGGATGCACAACTGCAGCTGAAATCAGGGCTTCCTCAGCATGTGTTGGTCCGGTCACTTGTGCTTCCAGCCCTTTTGGAGAGAGAGGCCTGTCTCATCCATGAGCTCCACGACTCCCTTGGGAGCAGTAGCAAGTTAGCCAATGTGCACACGCACCCGGGCCCTTTCCCAGCCACGAAATCAGGATGCCAACACCCTTATTGTAGGAGAGGTTCTCCACCGGCAAGGCAAGTAAACGTGTGTGCAAACAGCATGGGCATGGGGGAAGCAGGGCAAAAAGACAGCTCCAGGAAAGGGTCCTGCTGCCTTGTCCTCAATGCTGCTCAGCTGTCACTTCATTTGTCCAGAAGAACTTGCAGGGGTGACTCTCCTGCATGCAAAATGTGTGGCAGGAGTTGGGTTCTCCCGGACAGGTGCCTCTGTGTTCTCAGCTCACAGGTGAACGCAACACACTTCCTTTTGGTTCTGCTGCTGCTCTGGAATTTGTGCGATTGGACAGGGAAGAGGTGGTGTGAAGGGCCAAGACCCCATGCATTCAAGGGCAACAAAAATGCTCAGGACGCTGGAACAGCTACCACATGGGGAGAGATTCATAACCTTGGCACTGTTCAGCTTGGAAAGGAGACGGCCGGGGAGGGAGGGTAATAGAGGTCTCTAACACCAGGAATGGTGGGCAGAAAAGGAAAACGTAGGTGTTTTATCTCTTCCCATCACACGAGAGCCAGGGTTCGCCGGGTTTCAAACAGAAGGGAGCATTTCCTCACCCCACACACAGTCGGCCTGTGGAACTCACTTCCAGAGGTGTTGAGAAGGCCAAGACTGTAACAGATGCAAACAGCAGCTAGATACACTCATGGAGGATGTGTCCATCAATGGGTATTAGGCAAGATGTTCAGGACACAACCTCATGCCTGAGCATGCCTCAGACTGCCAGACACAACGATGCCTGGTCTGTCCACTCCCTCTTTAGCACTGCCCCCTGCCAGAAGTCAGGCTACTAGGCTAAGCAGGCCAGTTGTCTGACACTGTGGCTGGTCCTATTAGGGTCTCAAGCAAATCCACCCAAGGGCTGAGTGGCTCAGGGAGCTGCTCATAGCCTGTAGCCCTCTCCTGGGACTGCTTTGCCCCAGCTATGCCGTGGGTGCTGCTGGTTCACATCCAGCTTGGCTTCTGGGAGGAATTCTTGCACCTCATCGCTGCATGGCCACCTGATCCTATGGACAGCAGCTCCTGCTCCCCTGCCCCGGGGGACAGTTGGTAAAGGAGACCGCGTAACCAGAGCTGTCCCATCCATAGGATGATTTGGGACCGGCACCCTGGCCTGATGAGACGGACCCCCAGACTGAGGTTAGCTCCTACCTCATCAGGGCTGCTTGGGAGATTACAGGGGTCGGGCCCCCCCCCACACACACCGTGGCAGGGGAACTGTGGCAAGTAGTGACCCACCTGCTGCGTAGCTCTCCCTCGGGAATGGAGTGGGCTGGGTCACTCCACTTCTGCTCTGCTTCCCATGGCTCCTGCCACCATGGTGAGTTCAGGGGCCCGACCCCAGTTGCCACCCCACGCCAGCCCCAATAATTCCCTGGACTGCAGTGCTTGGGGAAAGGGCTGCAATGGGGGCAGGAGAGGGTGGAGGCTCGAGGGAAGGGTACAAGTGAGGATGGGAAGAGTGAGACAAATTGCGGCAGGGCCTGGGTTGGAGCATGGGGGTGGGGAGGGGCATCCCGGGACCCACACACCCCTAAAGATGGCCCTGAGTGTGACTGTCATTCCCTCTCCCCCTAAGGAGGGGAGGTTTCAAAGTGAAGCCTGCTCTGCAGCTGTGCCTAACTGTGCCCAATGCATGAGGAAGGGGCGTGCGGCATTCATGCTGGGACTGAGCCCTGGGAGGGCTGCAGAATAACATCAGCATGGTTAGGAAGCTCTGGGTTTGCCCCGGGTTATTTGGCAAGGAGACAGGCACTTTGCAGAGGCCACTTCCCCTAGGCATCGGCGTCTCACCTAAGCAAGCACCGTGAATAACTTTGAGCGAACTCAGCAATGAGGGGTTTTTGAGAACCTCTAAATGGGCTAATAGGCTAATTGAAAAGGCCCTCCTGAGACCACAGTAATTGGGAAGCGGGAACCGTAGATTCAGATCTGTGAAAGGAAGAACCATAGAAGGAGCTAGTGGGACAAAAATTGACAGCCTGTCAGTTACGGCCCAGCTCCTAAGCCCCTAGGAGTTAGTGGCCGGTTGAGCAGCTTCATTAACAAGGATTGTGAAATCACTGAGCAGCTCCCTGGCTCTCTCTCCACCCCCCTCCCCCCGGCACTGGCAGATGATGTTCCAGGGACTGTAGAGATTCAGCCGCCCTCACAGGGTTGTTCTATTGAACAGCGACACGTGCCCCAGGCCCATTCCCACTGGGGAAGCAGAACTCCTGGATTCTCTTCCTAGGGCTGCTTCACTGTTAGGCCAGCTGGGTGGGGAATGGTTTCCCCGTCCCTCAATCATATTGGAGGTTTCACACATTTCCCAGCCTGCAGCAAGATGAACCTCTAGCCACTTAGCTATTTTCACCCCTCCATGCACACAGTGCTGCGCTATCCTTGTGCACATGTGCACGCAGACGCCTGCCCGGCAAAAGTTCTGTCAAATCCAGCCCTCTCCTGCCAAAAGTTGAGTTTCGACAAATCTGCACTTTTCACCAACTTTGCACTGGGAGTTTGCACTGCACTGCTCCACCACTGGGAGTTTGCAGTGTCTCTGCCTCTGGCTGAGCCAAGCCAGCATAAAACCCCCAAACACAAACTTAAAACATGAGAAACCTAGACAGAATCCCCTGGAAAGCTACAATCCAATTCTTGCCTTAACTCTCCTCTGTCCAGACAGTATACACCAGCAGCTCCCAGACTGTGTCGTGGTCCCTATGCTCTGGGAGAGTCTGCTAGCCCCACTTCCGGGACCAGTTCCATTTGCCCCATTTGGAACTTGTGGAAGAATCTCTCCTAACTAGTGAGGCAGCGACTCCCTCTGAGCAAGCTCTTTTTTGATATGGCTTCCTACATTCCCTACTGTGCCTACTCCCAGCACTGCCACAAACTCCTTGTGTGACTTTGATCAACCCCCAGCGCCTCAACTGTGAGATGTGGCTAAAATGCTTCCCTATCTCATAGGGGATGGTGGTATCTTCAGAGCGCTGGGAGATCCTGGGATGTGGTTATTAGGAATAAGCACAGGGACACTTGTGCTTAGTCACCTCCTAGCTGCAGTAACCTCTCCTATCAGGCAGTAAATTTTCAGCCCCTGCAGGCGTGGCTGTATTAATTGCACCGCATTATGCAGCCATCTGTTATAGCACCCAGGTAAAGAGCAGTCCCTTGGGTGTTCTTTAGGGACAGATTTCACTGGAAATGCAAACAGGCCTGGCTCGTCGCTGCACTCCAAATCTGCTTTGAAAGAGGTCAGCAGAGAAGCAGGCACTCCCAGCGATTTAGTAAATCATGAAGGGTGAATGGAAGGTAGTGAGTGAAGCTGCCTAAGAAAAACTGACAAACAATGTCCCCGCACTACTGAAACGACAGATTGGAGGGCTCCTCTCCCCCTCTGCACCCGTGACGCTCCCCCTGACGCAGCAGCCTCTCTCCACCATCTTCCCCTGCATCCCTGGAAGGTGACTTGGAGAGCAAGGACACCAGCCACTTGAAGTAAGAATTCACCGCTTCTTGAGATCTCAGTACCACGCAGCGCTCATGTGCTTCCTTTGTAATCATGTAAGGTGCCATAGTTCAGCACCGGCACAGCTCTGCAGCCCCGTGCTTGTTGCATGAATTTGTCACTCCAGCCCCTTTTGTTCCATACTACTTTGCAGAGCTCATTGTCTATGCAGTACTAAGCTATGACTGCAAAGCTCAGCATTAAGAGCCGGCACAAGCTGTTAGCTTAAAATAAAGGGCAATGGTGCTAAGAAAACAACAGCCCAAGAAAGAACATAAGTAAGGTTGCTATGAAAGATAGCACAGTGTATGTGACTCATCTGCAGCTGGTGGTATCAGAATACAGGCATGGCAGGTGCCCCTGCAGCCAGAAAGCTGGGCTTTTTCCCCAATAGAGGAGCAGTAGAAAGTCATAACAGATACCAGCTACATAGGCCACAAGAACTACTATAGCTACATTAGCAATTACAAGTCAGCATTTCCCCCAAGTTTTGAGTGGCTGTGCCCCACCACCTTTGCTCCCTACTGCAATGTGCATGAAGTCGTAAGATAAACTAGGTCTCACAGAGGAAGGACAGTCACACAGTTAAGGTAGTGGATTGGGGCTCAGGAGATCTAGATTTTACACTTGGCTCTGCCACTGACTCCATGTGTAACATTGGGTGAGTCACTTAGTCTTTATGTAGTGCAGTCCCGGTCTATAAAATGGAGACATGATCCTTCTTTCTCCCACCTTTGTCTTGTCTATGTGGACTGTGAGGTGTTAAGTGCAGGGACCATCTCTCACGATGTGTTTGTACAGAATGAAGCACCCTGGAACCCAGTTCAGTTGTAGCCTCTTGACTGTCCAGTATTACAAATCACATTGGGGGCAAATTCTCTCTTTGATTTACACCCTGTGAAACCCAGTGGATAGAATCTGGCCCATTGGAAATGGACCCTTATGTACCAAATTCTCTTCTTGGTTGCACTGGACATGGTTTGGCTGGATGTGACTGAGAAGGTAGCGTCGTCTAGGGGGTAGTGCACTACATGAAGCTAGGAGTTTTAGTCCTGGCTCTATTATTATGGTGATTTATTGTTTGTATTATTGTAGCACCTGGGAGCTACCGTCATGAACCAGGTGCTACAATGCTGTACAAACATAGAACAAAAAGCTCCTGCCCGAAAAGCTCAGAGATAGGAAATCCCAGAGAGGTACATACAGCCTGGGGAGCACATGGAAACAATGAGAAAATATTGGCCAACATGTCAGGCTGTGCCTTTAGCCCACCAGCTGCCTAAGTGCTGTTGAGTGAACATAGACCAAGTCGCATCACTGCTCTGTGTCTCAGTTTCCCCATCTGTAAAATGGGGATGATGATACTGAATTCCTTTATAATGTACTTTGGGATTGACTGAGGAAGAGAGCCATATAAGAACTAAGAGTGTCTTACCAGGAACCTGGCAAACATACTGGATAACACATGGAACACAATCAGCACCTGCAAGCCCCACTAAACCAAGGGGTGTATAGCTAAGTGGGAATGCCATTGCAGGAACATCAGCTTTTCTGTGTGAATGGGGGGCATGCCAATTCCACTCATCCTGCAGTGACATTTTACAACCTTTGTAAAGTCCTTGCCACCAAAAGCCTGGGAGTTTTATTCCTTCTTTGGGAGCTGGGAATCCAGCCAGCTTTTCCAGTGCGCATGCTGCAGTCAAATGCCAGCCTGTCCCCCCTCACCACCACCTACCCGTTCCATCAAACAACATTTAAATGCCATTGATTGTTCCTGGGCTCTAATGCTCCTGCTGGTTGCAGAAGAACAATACCAAAGAAGCATGCCATGACTGCCACCTCCTGGTTACTCCAGCACTTGCTCCCCTTTGGATGTAATAAAAAGGTTTGCTGCAGTGAAGAAAAGGCACCTGTGAAAAGAAAAGGGAGGGATTTTCTGAAGCATTTCAGAAAGTTTGGCCCCAGACTTTCAATTACTTTCATTACAAATACGAGGCTTTTCCAGGATAGTTATGCTCAAAATGCCTTTGACAAGGTCCAGCATGAAAGGCTCTTAAGTAAAGTTAGTTGTCATGGAATAAGAAGGAAGATCCTCTCATGGTTTGGTAACTGTTTAAAAGACAGGAAACAAAGGATAGGAATAAATGGTCAGTTTTCAGAATGGAGAGAGGTGTCCCTGAAAGGATTGGTACCTGTACGGAATCTATTTAAACTATTTATAAATGATCTGGAGAAAAGGGTAAACAGTAAGGTGGCAAAAATTGCAATTGATACTAAACTGCTCAAGGTGGTTAAGACCAAAGAACAAAGCAGACTGTGAAGAGCTTCAAAAGAGTCTCACAAAACTAGGTGATTGGGCAACAAAATGGCAAATTAATTTTAATATTGATAAATACAAAGGAATGTACATTGGAAAAAATAATCCCAACTACACATACAAAATGATGGGGAGTAATTTAGCTATAACCACCTGAGAGATCTTAAGAGTCATTATGGGTAGTTCTCTGAAAACATTCATGTAATGTGCAGCAGCAGTCAAACAAAGAAACAGAATGTTAGGAAACATTTAAAATGGGATAGAGAATAAGACGGAAAGTAACTTATTACTTCTATATAAATCCATAGTATGCCCACAGCTTGAATACTGAGTAAAGATGTGGTCACCTCATCTTAAGGGGGGGAAAAAAGACACCTTAGTACTGGAAAAGGTTCTGAAAAGGGCAATAAAAATGATGAGGGGTTTAGAACGAGTCCCATATGAAGAGAGATTAAAAAGACTGAAAAGACAAGACTAAGGGGGGATATGATAGAGGTCTATAAAATCATGACTGGTGTGGAAAAAGTGAATAAGGAAATGTTATTTACTTATTACCACAATATAAGAACTAGGGGTCACCAAATGAAATTAATAGGGAGCAGATTTGAAACAAACAAAAGGAAGTTTTTCTTCGTGCAGAGCACAGTCATCCTGTTGAACTCCTTGCCAGAGCTTGCTGTGAAGTCCAGGACTTTAACAGGGTTCAAAAAAAGAACTGAATACATTCATGGAGGTTAGGTCCATCAATACTTATTGGCCAGAATGGGTAGGAATGGTGTCCCTGGCGTATTGTTTGTTAGGGGCTGGAAACAGATGACAGGAGTGGGTCACTTGATGATTATTACTGTTCACTCCCTCTGGGGCACTGATAGAAGACAAGACACTGGGCTAGATGGACCATTGATCTGACCCAGTATGGCCCCTCTTATGTTCTTATATAAAGTAGCCATGGCAGCACTTTAACATTGGCCATGTACGGGCTGGTACCAGTAGCCAGTTTTTACTGGTACACCATACTGGCCTTCTTTCCTCTCTGCTAAAGGTAAATGTGTACATTTAGATACAATGGATATGGGCAAGGGAATGGCCGATAAGAGGGACAGTTATACTGCAGAGGGACCATGAGGGCAGCGAGCACAGGGGACAATTATACTGCAGAGTGACCACAGGGAGGCAGCCGCACAAGAAGAGAATAGCAGCTGGGGCCAGGGCTCTCCATGTAGCCAGCCACCAGCCCAGGTAAGTGACCCCTCCCCCCTGTCCGAAACCCCTTCCCCCAGCTCTTGGCCACAGCACAGATTGGGGGCAGGAGCACCAGCCAGCAGTCCCACCACTCCAGAGCAGCACCACTGGAGACTAGGGCTGGGCAGCCCCAGCGCCCTCTGCCCCCACCCCAGAGGAGCTCTGCTAGTGGCCAGGGTGCAGTCCCAGAGCCACCCTTCACGGAGGAGCCCATCAGCAGCCATGATTGGGTCACACAGCCCTCCCCCACTGAAAAGCCAGCAACCAGAGCCAGGCACCACAGACATGGACCAGCAGCCTGCTCAGCCAGTAGCTGTGACCAGGGTTAGCAGCTCAGCCTCCACGAACTGGAGCTGGACAAACAGCAGCTGAAGTCCCATCCTCACTACCGTGGGTGCCACCAGTGAGCTCCCCCAGACCTCCCAGTTTTTCAGCAAAATTCAACATTTTCAGTGGGAGCGGGGGGAAGAAAATCCAACCAGCTCTACTAACCAACTTGTAGCAAGATGAAGGACTGAAACATAAGCCCATGTAGCACAGGCCTGGTTTGAGGCCTGAGGCCTAGCTAACAATGGACAAAACCTGGCTAACAAAGCAAAGCAAAGCTGTGAGCCAGCAGCAGGCCCCTGCTCACAGAACTTGGCACGAACAGGGCTGAGAGTGCAAAACACTAATTGGTAATAGGCCCAGGTGTAGAACAGTAATTGGTATTGGACATAACTTGAAAGCACATGGTACCACCAGCTTATTAAAAAAGTCCTTGGAACACACTCTCCATAGACACCGACCCAGGCTCAGGAAAAGGTCTAAAAATCACAGCATGATGGATGGAGGCTATCTAATCAGATCATTAAGTACAGTTCAGGGTGATATCTAACTAGTGTCAGAGGGCAGTAACCTGACACGTCAGAAGTGATGTGTAAATTGTTTGTACCTGTATATAAAGTGGTATCTTGGGAGGAATAGTCTTTGGATGAACTAGGATGCAGTGGAACCACCCACGGATTGAGTGATTCCATTGTTATGGGGGTACATATACATAGTGGTTCAGTGGAGTCTGACTAATACTACTGTACTCAGCTTAACAATAAACCCGGCCAGGCACCTTCAATCCTTATCTGATTTGTGGTCTTCGGGGGCTCTCTTGGAATCTTCTGTGTTAATGAATGTATAAATCAACATGGCATACATCATTGAGCACACCCACAAGCAGCGTTTGGTTATCATCATCCATGGAGCTAGAGACCTGTTAGGAACTCATCGGGAAGACCCCAGCTGACAACACAACTTACTTAAAGGTGCAGAAAGTTTGGGACAGAGCCCCAAACTAAACCTAGCCTCTGTCCAGTCCATTATCTTAACCACAAGCCCCGAGAAACATGGTGGAACAAACAGACTTCTTTCTGCACATTGGTGGAAGGGCCTGTGACATGAGAAGAGTGGTTGCTATAATTCTGTATGGAAGAGCTATTGCTGATACATCCTTCAGTAGCATGTGACTGGAAGAAACTCTCCATGTTTTGCTCAATGCTGTCTCCAAAGAGGACGTTTTTATCACTATAAATGCTACGCTGTGCTGTAACTTCCCTGGAAGGATATGATCCTGGGGGTAACACACAGGACTGCCTCTAGCACAAGGACAGAATGGATCTCACAAGGGGCAAGCCACTGAAGGTAACTCTTACAAGACAGAGCACTGAAGGCAAATGGGCTGGCTTAGCCATGAGGGAAACTGCCAGCTACTTTCTATTTCTTTTGACTACTTTCCTGTACAATCAGGGTCTGCTGACTCTCTGCTTCCCAGGAATGCAGATTGGGTACAAACCACAAGGTGTGTGAGATATAGCACTGGCTTGCTGTCTGTGGGTATGGACTACACGGAATAGTTTCCAAGCACCTCCAAAGGTTAGCAAGCAAGGCAAGTGAGGGATGGGTGGGGTTTGGAGGGGTCCAGCTGCAAGTGGAATAAGGGTGGGAAGCAGATTATATCTGCCACATGTCTGTCTACTGCAGGATTTTTCACCTTTCTTTGGTACTGGCCAAAGACAGGATACTTGGCTAATGGCCCTTAGGGCTGATCCAGCCTGACAATTTCTATGTCTGTGATGTTTTCTCTTTCGTACAGCTTCCTCTTGCAGTCCTCACCCCTTTCTGACCCCAGTTCCAGGAGGCCAGTCCTGCCTGCCATCACAGCTCTCTGGCCAAGGAAGGTCTGGCTCCAGCAGTGGGATGTGTAAAGCCAGTTCAGAGTAAGGAGCAAGCTCCCTATGGTCAAGCATGCAGGGTTTGCAGGGCTGGGAGAAAGCCTGGATATGGATCCATCACTCACCCCCAAAGTACAAGAGCCATGACGTGCTGGGTGGAGGGAAGAGTCCATTTCTTCCCTGCCAACAGCTAGTTTACCTGGACTGAGGAAGAGGATTTTGCTCTTGGAAATGAAGAGCAGTAGCCACCCCAGAACCAAGCAGCAGCAGAGCCTTCACTAGAGAGGCCCACTGGAAGGGAGTAAGGAAAAGTTATTTACTTATTTCCACAATATAAGAACTAGGGATCACCAAATGAAGTTAATAGGCAGCAGGTTTAAAACAAACAGAAGCTCATCAGTCTGTGGAACTCCTTGCACAGTGTAGGGTTGGACTTTACAGGGTTAAAAAAAGAGCTAGATAGATAGATTCATGGAGGTTAGGTCCATCAATGGCTATTAGCCAGGATGGGTAGGAATGGTGTCCCTAGACTCTGTTTCTCTGGAGGTGGGTGACAGGAGAGGGTCACATGAGGATTACCTGTTGTGTTCCTTCCCTCTGAGGCATCTGGTATTGGCCACTGTCGGCAAACAGGATACTGGGCTGGATGGACTGTTGGTCTGACCCTGTATAGCCGCTCTTATGCATCTGTGAGGATTTCCACTCACAATTGCTGTCAGGTCAGATAGGAGGAGGTTTGAGAGGCAGCCTCCTTTTCAGCAAACCACCTTTGTTAACTGTTTCCACCTGAAGTTAGGGAGCAAAATCCATATTCAAATAGTAACCCAATATTACCAGCTTCATTACAGCAGGAACTCCCAGGGAAAGTCCAGCCACCTGCCTCAGCCACTCGGCGCTAGGTTTTCCATATATTTCTCTAACCAGCTTGTCTGAGCTGTAATTATTGCACTCAGCAAACCACTCCACTCCCCAATTATCCTTTTGTCAAGCCATTTTTCTTGCTATACAAGTTCAATTTATCACTCTCAAGCTTTAATACACCCCCTTGATTTATTAATAGTGCCCAATGCCTGCTTCTTTTACCTTCCAACTCATTAGTGCCAGCACTTTGCCCAAAGCCAATTTCTGCAGGTGAAAGGTTTTGATTCATTTATTCTTGGTTGGTATTCTCTGATCTCTTGGTACCCCTTTAAAGGGAACCCAGCATTGCACTCTAGGTGCAGCCGTATCAATGCAGTGGGATTGGAAATGCCCTGTTAGGTCAGTTCAGCATTCCTTCATGGAACATTGCCTAGCAAAAGATGTAGAAGCAAATACAACTTAAGGCTGCACTCATTTTTCTATGCAACAGTATCACTCTTCAATAGTGGTAGAAATGTAGCCGTGTTAGTCTGGTGCAGCTGAAACAAAAAACAGGACTGTGTAGCACTTTAAAGACTAACAAGATGGTTTAATAGGTGATGAGCTTTCGTGGGCCAGACCCACTTCCTCAGATCATAGTGGAAGAAAATCATCACAACCATATATATCAAAGGATACAATTAAAAAATGAACACGTGTTCATTTTTTAATTGTATCCTTTGGTATATATGGTTGTGACAATTTTCTTCCACTATTTGATCTGAGGAAGTGGGTCTGGCCCACGAAAGCTCATCACCTATTAAACCATCTTGTTAGTCTTTAAAGTGTTATCATTCTTCAGTGTTTATTCCATTACCCATAAATCCCTTTTGTGGAATTGTTTCTCCTCTCTCAGATTGGCACCGTTTGTTATTAAGGCCTATGTGTTAGCTTATGCATTACTTTATACTAAACATCAGCTCAGCTTGTGGGATCGCTTAACCAATGTACTCTATGTATTAAGAGGGTGAAGCAATCCACCAGCCAGTCTGACAGCCCATGAGGGACGATTCACTGAAGGATTAACCCTGAAGTATCTCCTCATGATATTAAAACTTCCCCCAAGGGAAAAAAGAAGTTACTCACCTTGTGCAGTAACGATTGTTCTTCGAGATGCGTGTCCCGTGGGTGCTCCACTGTAGGTGTCGGGCTTGTCCCGGCGCCGCAGATCGGAGATCTTTTCTAGCCGTAGTCTGCCGGACTGCGCATGCGCGAAGTGCGGCTCGTGGCTTTTCGCGCCGTTTGAGCGTTGGTGGTCCGGCTCCCACCAGTTCCTCCTGCCTCTTGTTCTGAAAGACACAAAGTAGAGAAAACTCCGAAGAGGGGAGGAGGGCGGGTCGTGGAGCACCCACGGGACATGCATCTCGAAGAACAATCATTACTGCACAAGGTGAGTAACTTCTTTTTCTTCTTCGAGCAGTGTCCCATGGTTGCTCCACTGTAGGTGAATGTACAGCAGTAGCTCGTGAATGGAGGTGGGTTCGGAGCTAGCATGCCATAGCTGAGGATAACACTGCTGTCGCCACCGCCGAATCAGGTATTAAGAGATTGGGGATGGCATAATGTGTAGCGAAGGTTAGGTTGGAAGACCACGTAGCAGCTCCACAGATATCTATCAAGGGAACTCCCTTGAGGAATGCAGTGGACGTTGCGACAGCCCGAGTCGAATGGGCTCTCAAAGTCGAAGGCAGTGGTTTCTTTCGCAGATTATAACAAGCCCTTATGCATTGCACAATAGCGGAGGAGATGCATTGAGCGGACAATGAGCAACCTTTAGTACGGTCCGCCATTGATATTAGTAGCGAGTCTGCCACTCGAAAAGGTCTGGTTCTCTCAATATAGAAGGCGAGAGCACGTCTGACGTCCAAAGCGTGCAGGCACGCATGTTCTGGTGAAGCGTGTGGTTTGGGATGGAATACAGGAAGAATTATAGGTTCGTTGATGTGAAAACAAGAGATCACTTTGGGACAAAAACGTGGTTGCGTTCGCAATATCACCGCTTGGTGTGTAAAAATCGTATAAGGAGGAGAGACTGATAGTGCAGCTAGCTCACTCACTCTCCTCGCGGAAGTAATTGATTGAGTGAGCTAGCTCACTCACTCTCCTCGCGGAAGTAACTGCCAACAAGAAAACGACCTTCATGGACAGGTCATGTAGATTGCATGTTGCTAGCGGTTCGAAGGGTTTGCCCGTCAGGGAATTCAGGACCATTTCAAGGTCCCAAGGATCCGCCGGTTGAGTATAATGTGGATACAAGTTGGACATTCCCTTGAAGAACCTCTTCGTTGTCAGGTGGGAAAAAATGGAACATTCGTCGACAGGCTGATGAAAGGCTGCTATTGCAGCGACATGGACTCTAATGGAAGCACAGGTAAGGCCCGAATTTTTGAGGTGTATGAGGTAGTCCAGGATACACTGCAGAGGTGTAGAGACTGGATTCAGATCCTTTTGGAAACACCATGACGAGAAGCGTGACCATTTTGAAAGGTAAGTAGTTCGCGTAGATAATTTTTTTACTGTTTAGTAAAATGTGCTTCACAGATTGTGAGCATAATACTTCTGACTATTGGAACCAACTAGGTACCATGCCATGAGTGCGAGATGGTCCCCCTTCGGATGGAGAAGGGAGAGGTGATTTTACAAGAGCAGATCGTGCCGAATTGGCAGAGGACACGGAGGATGTATCGACATGCGATGGAGGTATGGATAACACGTTTGCCTGGGCCAGGAGGGGGCTATTAGGATTACTGTAGCTCTCTCCCAAATAATTTTTTCCACTACCCTGGGAATCAAGGGTGTGGGTGGAAATGCGTAAAGTAGGTGACGTCCCCAGTTGTATAGGAAAGCGTCGCCTTTTGAATTTCGCCCAATTCCCGCTCTCGAGCAATACTGAGGACATTTCGCATTGTGACAAGTGGCAAAGAGGTCTACTAACGGAAATCCCCATCGTTGAAATATCAGAGAGCACTGTGGGATGTAACTCCCACTCGTGGTAGAGAGAAAAATGCCTGCTGAGGGCATCGGCCGTTACGTTGTGGTGGCCCGGGAGATACTCTGCGATTAAAAAGACGTTGTGGCGATTGCACATGTTCCATAGACATACCGCTTCTGCGCACAAGGAGTGGGATCTGGCCCCACCCTGCTTGTTTACATAATAAACGGTTGTCATATTGTCTGTAAGGACTCGTATGACATGTCCCCGAATGATGGGAAGGAAGTGTTGACATGCTTTGTACACTGCCGAGCTCCAGGAAGTTGATGTGCATCAACGATTCGTCTGGCGACCATAGGCCTTGTACTTGTTCGGGGCCAAGGTGTGCGCCCCATCCGATGACTGACACATCTGTTGTCAACTGCGCTGACGGCTGAGGGCGATGAAAGGTTACGCCCGACAATAGATTGTCTGGACCTGTCCACCAAGCTAGTGACTTCTTGACATGGGTGGGAACTGTTATTGTCATGTGGACGTCGCGTACATTGGGGGGACAGATCCGTGCCATCCAATGTTGAAGGCACTGAAAACGTAACCTTGCGTATTGGACCACATATGTTGTGGAGGCCACGTGCCCCATAAGCTGTAGGCACCGTAGTATGGGAACCGTTGGGCTGATGAGCAAGATCTGGATCAAATCCTGCATTGTCTGGAACCTTTCCATCGGTAATGCGGTAATGACGCACGCTCGCGCATAGAGTCTAGACAAGCGCCTATGAACTGTATTGATTGGTGCGGTTCCAATGATGACTTCGGGACATTGAGAATGAGACCCAGCTCCTGGAAGACCGTGCGTGTTGTTTCTGTAGCATCGCGTGCTTCCTGCAATGATTGGGCTCTGATTAAGCAATTGTCGAGGTATGGAAAGATCATTATGTGTAGCCGACGAAGATATGCGGTCCATGGAGCCGACGAGAGACCGAACAGCAGGACCTTGTATTGGAAATGGTCTGTACCGATTTGGAAGCGTAGGAATCGTCTGTGTGCCGGATGAATCGCAATGTGAAAGTATGCATCCTGAAGATCGAGGGATGTGAACCAATCCCCGTTCTGAAGTGCTGGGATGATTGTAGCTAAGGTAACCATTCAAAACCGTTGTTTTCGTAAGAAACAGTTGAGGTCGCGAAGATCTAGTATCGGTCTCCATCCCCCTGATTTCTTATCCGTTATAAAGTACCGGGAATAAAAACCTCTGCCCTTGAACTCGTCCGGAACAGGCTCTATTGCTCCGACAGCGAGTAGACGGGTAACTTCTTGCCTGAGCAAGGGCTCGTGAGATGGGTCCCTGAAAAGGGACAGGACAGGGGGGGAAAAAGGGAGGTAGTGACGTGAATGGGATGGTGTAACCGAGGCAAATTGTCTGAAGGACCCATTTGTCGGTGGTGATGTAAGCCCATCGATGGAGGTACGGCCTCAGACGGTGGTGAAAAATCGCCTTTGTAGCACTCAGAATGGTGATGGTAGGAATGGTTCTCAACCCCTCGAGTGACGCGTCAAACTTGCTGTCTGGTACCCTGTTGGGAAGTCGTTTTGGGCGGCGGATGTCTCCGCTGTTGATGCTGTCTACCTCTTTGTTGGTCTTGAGGCCTATACTGAGGAGGTTGTCGTGGGGGGGGCCTCTGCCTTTGGTAGGGGGTATATCGTTTTCTACGGTAGGGAGGAGTGTACATGCCCAACATTTTTAAAGTGGTTCTGAAGTCCTTCCCCGAGTGCAGAAGTTGGTCAGTCTTATCAGAAAAGAGATTCTGCCTGTCAAAGGGTAGGTCCTCGACCTTCGAGAAGAGGTCTTTGGGAGCAGAGGACTGCTGCAGCCAGGATGCTCTGTGCATAACGACCGATGTAGCAGTCATGCGCGCTGCAGCATCAGCCTCTGGAAGATGTTGAAGAAGTGGCACAAGCTTGGCGTAGTTGTCGAAATTGTGATTCGCCAACAGCGCGGAATAATTGGCCATTCGCAGAGTGAGTGTTGCCGAGGAGTAAACTTTACGTCCGAATAAATCAAGACACTTACTGTCTCTGTCTGCGGCAGTAGGTTTGTGTTGCAGCATCTTTGCCTTTTGTTGTACTGCATCCACAACCAAGGAATTAGGCTGTGGATGGGTAAAGAGGAATTCCATCCCCTTAGCGGGGACGAAATACTTTTTATCCGCCTTCTTATTCGTAGGCGGGGCGGATGCCGGCAGCTGCCAAATATCGTCTGCAATTTCAAGAATGGCCACGTCCAGTGGCAACGAGATCTTGGGCTGGTGAGATTGTTTGATGTTACGGAGGAGGTGGTGTTGTTTTTGTTGCACCTCCCCCAGCTGCACGTTTTGACTCTCTGCCACTCTCTTAAACAGCTCCTGAAACTGGCGTAGGTCGTCCGATGGTGAGGTGTCTCCCTGAAAAACTGCATCGTCTGGTGACGATGAAGATTGATCCATGGGTGATCGATCAGGTTCGGGATCCCGAACAGGAAGAGGTTGTCCGGTGCGAGAAGGAGACCCGGAGGGAGTTGGTGGCCTTGAAGGAGCAGAGGGAGCAGAGTGCTTTTGGACGAGAGAGGCTTGAGGGGACCCGTGATGATGAGACGATGACCTTTGGTGATAGTAGGGTGACATGGAACGACGGGACCTCCTGGAATATTCCGAATGGGTTGAAAACGCAGGCGATCTTGGCGATCGTGACCTTCCTCTGTAATAGGTGCTGTGGCTGGGTGAACGACGATCATGGTGGTAGAAATGACCGGATTGTGGGGAGAATTGACCAGTACGAGAGTACTCGGAGTACGCCGGGGATGGTGAATGTATTTCAGGAGAGAACTCAGGACTTGGTGAGAGAGAAGATAATCTCCTAGATCTATGGGCAGGTGGTGCCAGCAACTGTTCCGATGTTGAGGAAGTTGGAGTGGAGAGCACAGAGTCAGGGATTATCTCCACTGGTATTGAAGGAGTCCGTGACGAGGTGATCCGCGTCGTCGCAGTCGATTGTGTCGGCACCAACGATTGTCTCGGTTCCGGGGACCGTCTCAAAGGGGAAGGCTGCCTCAGTGCCGGTGGACATCCTTCTAAGGGAAACCTGTGATGTGACGATCCTTCCGGTGCCGAAGGATGGCTCGGTGCCGGTAAGCGCGTCAATGACGAGGAACGCTC